CATGGAATGGATTCAAACTGACTGACAGGATGCCTTGCTCCTTTTTATTTAATAATTTCCTATGCAAACAAAGTTGTCCTTAAGGAAAATTATTCAAGAAACACCTCCACAATAATTCCTTCCCTCCTCTGCCCTCAGCTCAGCAGCTCACATCAGCTCACCTCTCTTTTTGCTTGTGTTGGGTTTTTTCTCTGTTCTATTATTGTTTTTGAGTTTATGGGTCACTCACAAGCAGTTCCCTCCAGCCACTGATCATTTGGCTCATAACTGTGCAGAATGAAGTGTAAAGGACATAATCTGTTCTGGTTTTGCTGCTAAGAGCCCGCTGAAACTCGGGGGTATTTTGCCTTCTAAACCAGTAGGAAATTGGATATTTAATAGAAAACTTTATAATACAACTCTAATTAAAGAACAACAGAATGAAAGCCCCAAATTGCTTCATTTCAGCATTGTATATAAATAATAGTTATGGCTTCATGGAATTGCCTTTGTGTGTTAGAATTCAGTCAGGGTGGAAGCCACTCTTTTCCTTGCTGCTGCAGAAGCTGCTCCTGTCCTCCTGCAGTGGATGGTGGTGGGTGTTCCTTCTCCTACTCTGCAAGAGGCAGGGATTCATGCCTTGGTATCAGCTGCTGTAGCTACTTGAAAAATTAATTTCTAGGGAAAAAAAAAAATAATAAACTCGAAGGAATATTGGGAAAAATCCCTCCTTTGATGTGCCAAGTTGCTTTGGACACAAAATTCATCACCATGGTGGTGATCCACGCTGAGCCACTGCAAACTGAGAGTGGGTGTGATGGTAAATAGGAACAGCAGCAAAAGCTGCAAAAAATGCCTCATTATCCAAATTAATGAACTGGCCTCGCAGCAAAGAGGCAACTGAGCATCTTCAGCCTTTTGTGGGGATGTCCAAAACCTTCCACAGGCTGCAGCTGGCTTTGGAACTAAAACTCAAAACCAGGACTTTCAGGCCAGGTGACAAAGATGTCCCTTTGTCCCTTCCATGCATCATTCAGAGCCAGGTGCTCTCTGGGCCACATTCAGGAATCTTTCCCTGTGTTTTCTTTCCACCTTGGAGAACTTAACAGGAAGTTATTTCCATGGTACGGAAATTTTGTACAAAACCTTAAAAACTCTGAAATTCTACAATTCACTCCTTTATGATTAATTTCATATTTTGAGAGCTCTTTCCATGGAATTCTATTGCTTTTCTAGAATGTGCTATTGGTTTTAATCCCATTAAATTCAAAATGTCTTTGACAAAGAGTTATGCAATGGAGTAGGGAACTATTTCCCCCCCCCAGCTGTGAATTTCTCTCTTCAGTTGATTTTCAGATGGCATGAAACTGTAGCTCTGAACTCCTACAAAGAAGTAGGTTAAGATTTGTCTGTGGGTGCTTAATGCAGTTCGACATCTTGGAGAAGGAGGAATGAGAAGTGGTCATTATCCATTATCTGCTGGGAACCTTTCAGAGAAAGAAACAGCTTCTGCCAAACACAAAAAGATGTTTGAGCTGAAGCCAGACAAGGAGGAAACAAGATCACCTTCTAGCACAGTGAGATTGCTTTCCTGATGATGTTGTTTCAAGGAAAACTGGAATATGTATGGCTGAAGAAATGCAGGTGGTGCCATGGGTTTTACACGGATTAGCAGAGTTGTTCTGGACAATGATTCACTGTCCCTTCCCTTGGCAGAAAATAAATTTTCCAGTCTTGGAAAGAAACATGTATATATATGTATATGTATTTTAATAAATGTTTCTCTACATGGAAAAAGAGCAAATTTGAGTAAAAATAGTATCCACTGGTGGAAAAGTTAACAGTGAGAATGAACATTTTGACAAAAAGCTGTATTGACACTCCACAATCCAGGTCAGCAGTCGTGGATGATGTGGTGCCACTCCCAGGGCAGTCCTGGGTGTCAGGGCTGGATTCACCCCCCTGGGAGCCTGGCTTGGTGCTGTCTGCAGGGAAAGGTCCCAGCTCCAGGGCCATGGGGTGGGTTTAGACCCAGTTTTTGCAGGTGTATTAACTGGACCTGGTTTATTTTGGCTCCTCTGTGGAAATATTCCAAAAATAGCTAAGAAAATGTCCTTTTTGGAGAATAAAGAACCAGCTCTCTGTTGCAGATCTCATCTTAGAGAAGCAGGTTTCTCAGGTTGCCATGAATCCAATCACAAAGACACAGAGAGAAATTAAGAAACCAAATAATTTGGAATTATATTTGTTATTATTATCCATATAATAACATTATCCTTATTGATGTCATGATTTTGACATATCCTGTCTTGAGGTCAATCAGCACTAAACCAAAGACTGATTTCCATTTAAAAAGCCAAAAAATTGCTTCCATTCAATGCTTTGAAGCTCCTGAATTTTGTCAATTCTTAATGATAGTGACATTTCAGTCTCCCACTTCTTCAGGACTGCACTTTTCCCATCTTATATCTGCCTGGGCCTGTTTAATTTAGGTGGGGAAAATTCTCATCTAGGAAAGGGAAGAAGCATTTATCCAGTTACTGAGTTTGAATTTCTTTCATATTATTTCTTTCCTGTAACACAGTTACACATGAGGATCTCAGAGGTTTGGAATGTCAGAATAAGCCTGGGGGAGAACTGGTGGGAAGAGAACAGGTCACTCAACAATTTATTACATGGACATCAGTGTGACGTGCAAAATTTATGCTACTTATTACAGACTCTGCATTTAAAGCATGTGGGTGTACAGATATAAGACACTCTTTACTTCTAAAATAAATAATGCAAAGTCCACTTAAATTAATGTTATTTCTGTTAACCAGCTACATCCCTTCATGTCCAATGAAATCTTACTAAAAAGCCCTGTTGGAAGAACACGAGCATCTCTTGTACCCGAGGTTGTCTTGCAGAACTGGTCTCCACTGTCCTTAAAATGCCCACAGCAATTTAAATCATTTACAAAAACAGAAATGCTTTTACAGGGAGGACACTGAAATGTGTTTTTAAAGCTACCCAAACCCCTAAACCATTAAAACAGATGTGACTGATGGTTTTGTGAAATTTTGATGGTGCTTTCTGCACAGAGTCACAGAATCCAGTGCCACTTTCCACTCTCCCAGGCTGCTCCAAGCCCCATCCAGCCTGGCCTTGGGCACTTCCAGGGATCCAGGGGCAGCCACAGCTGCTCTGGGCACCTGTGTCAGGGCATCCCCTCCCTGACAGGGAAGAAATTTTTCCATATATCTAACCTAAACCTCCTGTCTGTCAGTTTGAAGCCATTCCTCCTTGTCTGTCACTACAGTTCCTGATGGAGAATCCCTCTCTGGCTTGCCTGTAGACCCTCTGGAGGTGCTGGAACTGGTTATTTCTCCCACTTTCATGAGATTGTGTCAGTATCTTACACAGCCACCAAAAAAAAAAGGATTCCTCATCACAAGTTACTCTTCTGTAAAGGTTATAGTAAACATGTCAATGCCTAATTAAGCAGCAAATTTTATCCATATTGTGGGGGATGTGCAGCTGTCTGGTGCTTCTGCTTTTCCTAGAGAAGGACAAAGGATCTTGTGAGTAATAAATTACTGTATGTACCTTCCTGTGGTAAGGAAAGGAAAACTTAACTCCTGGTGAAAAATGGGTTAATGGCACTCAAAGAATTGGTGCTGGAATGAAGAATCCAATTTGCAGTGACCGAGAGCTATGGGACTGCTCTTTGTGTGTTTTGGATCCTCCTTGGATCCCCTCCTTGTTTTTGTTGTGTGGTGTGCCTGGCACTGGTACACATCCTGGAGAGGGGCCATGTGTCACAGGGTCACTGCTCCTCACCTGGGGACATTTGCCACCTCCATGTCCCTGCCTTCCCCAGCTCTAAGCCTGGGTGACCTGTGCAGTTCCTAAACCCATGGCAAGGGTGTGGGAAAGATGACACATGGATTTCTTAGTTCCCTTCACACAGAGAGCCATCATTTCACTCTGCTTGTGCTGCACCTTCATCCAGGGGATGGTTCCTCTGGTTCTGGTTCATCTCTTTGGCCTGATGGCAAAGGTGTGGGAAGGGGTCAGCTCATGCAGATAGACTGGAGAATGAGGGCTTTGTCCAGATGGTCACCAGAAAGGTGGGACACTTTCCTCTGGATTTGCTAGAAGGATACTTTTGGGGCAGGAGTACCAAATTCAAGGGAGCAAAGTGAGCCAGGTTCTTAAAGAGCCACAAAACGAATTTCAGAGAATGGGAAGGAATTGGATTCTGAATAAATATACTCATCCACAATCAAGTTCATCTTAGTAATCAAAGAGTAAATTTGCCAAATGAAATCCTTCTGGATTTGTTCCACATTTCCAGTTTAACAATCAACTTCAGTCTACTTCTGTCAAATCTTCTGTAACTCCCAAGGGTTCTTGTCCTAAAATTTATGGATTTTACTGAAGCACAAATTGCTTTTATGGTACACAGTACATTACTTTTATAAACAAAAGGATTTCACTTATCCCTATTAACACTTTCAAATACTGTATTTTGACATATAAATTATTTGTGTACATCCTAAATTGCATTTTTAGGTGATCAAGTGGCAAAAGGCTACTGTACCTAGATGATGCTCTGAACCAGTAAGATTATGGCACTTATTTTTCTTCTCTTCCTTGCAAATTCAATCCCTTCTCTCACTGAGTCTAAAAACAATTTCATAGAATTGAAGCTTTTAGTATAAACTTTAAATTCTTACATATGAATTTTCCAACTGTCCCATTACAGGACAGTTAGAATTATACTCCCATGACAGGAAAATTATTAACTCAGGATCTCTGGCAGTTATAAAGAATTATGATCATCTGCCAACAAAATGCAGCAACCTTCACAAAAAAAAGAGACATCATTTGGCTTTTTTTCACTTCCAGAACCAACAGAAAATATAGTTATAGATTAAAACAAAATCCAGTAAAGAAAATACATAGTGAAAGCAGAAAACTGGAACTGTAACATTCTCCTTTAACAGGTTGTTTCATATATTGACATTACATTTCAGGTTATGTCCAAGAGGAAGATTTAAAGGAAGAGGAAGATATAAAGGAGGAGGAAGAAGATGACGATGACAACAACTCCACTGCTCAGCTGCAGAGCAGCAATGACACTGGCACGGATGAGGAGCACGAAGTGGGTCCTGAGCAGAAAGGGAACTTTAGTTTCCAGAATTCCCCTGTCAGTCACATATCCAACCAGGACGCGGAGAACGAATCACTACTGAGTGACGGTAGTGACCATGTGGCAGATATCAAAAACATCTGCTCCAGGGAGCCCCAGGACCCCAAAAGCAGCGCCCACCCCAAAGCCCAGAGCGAAGCACACGATTGCATGGATAAAATGACAGCAGTCTATGCCAACATCCTGTCGGACTCTTACTGGACAGGCTTGGGGCTGGGTTTCAAGTTGTCCAACTCTGAAAAGAGGAGTTGCGACAACAGGAACGGAGGGAACAAAGCTGATTTCGATTGGCACCAAGACGCACTGTCCAAAAGCTTGCAGCAGAATTTACCTTCCAGGCCTGTCTCCAAGCCCAACCTGTTCAGCTCGGTGCAGCTCTACAGGCAGAGCAGCAAAATGTGCGGGACTGTGTTCACGGGCGCCAGCCGGTTCCGCTGCCGGCAGTGCAGCGCTGCCTACGACACCTTGGTAGAGCTCACGGTCCACATGAACGAGACAGGCCACTACCAGGATGACAACCACAAAAAGGACAAGCACAGACCTACCAGCTACTCCAAGCCCCGGAAAAGGGCGTTCCAGGACATGGACAAGGAAGATGCACAAAAAGTTCTGAAGTGTATGTTCTGTGGTGACTCTTTTGATTCCCTTCAAGATCTGAGTGTTCATATGATAAAAACAAAGCATTACCAAAAAGTGCCTTTGAAGGAGCCGGTACCAACCATTTCTTCAAAAATGGTCACTCCAGCCAAGAAACGTGTGTTTGATGTGAACAGGCCTTGCTCCCCTGACTCCACGACAGGGTCTTTCTCAGACACCTTCTCTCCTCAGAAGAACGCAAACCTGCAGCTCTCCTCCAACAACCGCTACGGGTACCAGAACGGGGCCAGCTACACCTGGCAGTTCGAGGCCTGCAAATCCCAGATTTTGAAGTGCATGGAATGTGGAAGCTCCCATGATACCTTGCAGCAGCTCACAACCCACATGATGGTCACTGGCCATTTCTTGAAAGTCACGAGTTCAGCTTCAAAGAAAGGAAAGCAACTTGTTCTGGATCCTTTAGCTGTGGAAAAAATGCAATCGCTGTCTGAAGCACCAGCCAGTGACAGCCCCGTTTCAAAATCAACCAGTAAATCATCTGCAGAATGCATAGGTCCTGCCTCTGAACTTAAAAAAGAAAGTAAAAAAGATAAAGCTGATGATGCAAACAAAGATGAGAAAGCAATGAAAACTGAGGAGTACGAAGACACTCTTCAGAAACCCCTGGATCCCACAATGAAATACCAGTACCTCCGAGAAGAAGATTTAGAAGATGGTTCAAAGGGTGGTGGGGACATTTTAAAGTCCTTGGAGAACACTGTCACGACAGCCATCAATAAAGCTCAGAATGGAGCTCCCAGCTGGAGTGCTTACCCCAGCATCCACGCAGCTTACCAGCTCTCCGAGGGAGCCAAGCCGTCCTTGCCTGTGGGATCCCAGGTGCTCCAAATCAGGCCAACCATGACCAATAAATTGAGGCCCATAGCGCCCAAGTGGAAGGTGATGCCTCTGGTCCCTATCTCAGCAAACGTGAGCCAGTGCACTCAAGTGAAGAAGGAGGCTGAGGACAAGGAGGAGGTACAAAAGGACTGTGCTAAGGAGGGTGTCCAGGCTGAGCCAGCCTCGCTCAGCCAGAGCGAGAGGGAACCTCTCCTCAAAGCTGAAGCCTCTGTGGAGCCAAAAAAGACAGAACCGTGTCCCTTGAAAGAAGAAGACAAAATTAAAGAGGACAGTGGGAAAGAAAAGCCAGTCCTCAAGGAGCCACCAGCAGCTTCTCTCAGCAATGGTTGTGCTGCTGCCAACCATTCCTCGGAGCTGCCCTGTGTGAACCCCCTGAGTGCACTGCAGTCCGTCCTGAACAATCACCTGGGCAAAGCCACTGAGCCCTTACAGCCTCAATCCAACTGCAGCCCCAGCTCTAGCACAATTTCCATGTTCCACAAACCCAATCTAAACATGATGGAGAAGCCAGTTTTATCTCCCGCTCCAACCCCACCAAAGCCTGCAAGTGTATCCAGGCACTATTTGTTTGAAAACAACGATCAGCCTATTGACTTGACCAAATCCAAAGGCAAGAAAGCTGAGTCAGCTCAAGCACAATCTTGTACTTCTCCACCTCAAAAGCACGCTCTGTCTGACATCGCTGACATGGTCAAAGTTCTTCCCAAAGCTACCACACCAAAACCTGCTGCATCCTCAAGGATCCCGTCCATGAAGTTGGAAATAGATGTCCGGCGCTTCGAGGACGTCTCCACGGAAGTCTCCACTCTGCATAAAAGGAAGGGCAGGCAGTCAAACTGGAACCCTCAGCATCTGCTCATTTTGCAAGCTCAGTTTGCTTCCAGCCTCTTCCAGACATCTGAAGGTAAATATTTATTATCAGATCTAGGCCCACAAGAGCGCATGCAGATTTCCAAATTCACTGGACTGTCGATGACCACCATCAGCCACTGGTTGGCAAATGTCAAGTATCAACTTAGGAAAACCGGAGGAACAAAGTTTTTGAAAAACATGGACAAAGGACATCCAGTCTTTTATTGCAGCGACTGTGCATCTCAGTTCCGAACCCCCTCTACTTACATTAGCCACTTAGAATCCCACCTAGGTTTCCAAATGAAAGACATGAACAGGCTGGCTGTGGAGCAGCAAACCAAGGTAGAGCAAGAAATCTCCAGAGTTTCAGTTCAAAGATCTCCTGAAACAATAGCTGGAGAAGAGGACACAGACTCTAAGTTCAAATGTAAGTTGTGCTGTCGGACATTTGCGAGCAAACATGCAGTAAAACTTCATCTAAGCAAAACACACAGCAAGTCACCAGAACACCATTCACAATTTGTAGCAGAAGTGGATGAAGAATAACTCTTAAGGTATGCATGCTCTATAGTGAGTTTTCATTTCAGCATTTCCAGGAGGCTCCGTCAGGCTCTGTGCTTTGGTAAAAGTAGGAAAACAGTATAAAATGCATCGTGTATGCTGCGCCGCTCCTCCCTCGCATGCACACATCCATTTTATAACGTTTTCAGAAAGAGAGCTTGGTCAATGCAAACCCACACTGCCCTAGAGAGAAATGTTGCTGCTCATTATTTGCAAAATAGCTGTTTGCCCATTTCTCTTTTGTTCCTAAGAATAAATCATTTCACATCCACTGCACTTCGGTGTGGAATGCAAGAACTAAGTGCTACTCTTTGCAGTGAGAATGGAAAAAAGCAGATAAAGAGCACTGAAACCCAAAAGGTTATTACCTCACTCAGTGCTAGCACACCAATAAATCTGATTTGGATGGGGAAAAAGAAGAAAGTTCAAAAGTCAAATTAGCAAAATCTCAATTATTCCAAGTCTCTCATAATCTCAAACACAGCCTCAAGAATCTACAAATAAATCTGAAAAGTTCCTATGTAGAAGTTCAGTTATTCTTCTGTTGATATTTGGATGTTCAGTTTTGTAAAATATTTTAATATTTTACACTTACTTAAACACTTGCTACTGTGAGTGGCCTTTTTTGTCACATCATTTTAACCTCTCTCTCCATCATTCCTTTTTTAATCTTTAAGATGTTTGATTATATTTTGCTTCGTGTTGGTGGAAGTCAATCCATAAACATCACTGACTTCAGTGCAAGTTCTCTTATAACCTGGGGGAGTTACTGCTTAATTGAGATTTTTTACAAGCTTAATATTTCCAAGACCTGTTAGTAGGATACTGCTGCGTTAGTGTTGCTATTTTTTTGCTGCAAGATACACCAGTTGCCACAACCAATGTTTATAACATGTAATGTAATATTCAGATGCCACACCATTTTTGCATTTTTAATTTTACTTGATTCACAAACTTGAATATTCTTGATTGAAATAAATATGCAGAACATCAACTAAAAGTCCAAATAGACGTTTTTTGTTCTAACCAGTTTTTTTTCCAGGAGGGCTCTGTTTAGTTGTTCCCATCAATTCCTCCAGCAGACTCAGGCTCTGCTTATGTTCACAGAACATCCATGTGCAGATCCAGGTTTTCTCCAAGGTGTTCATTACTTGAATAACATTCAGAAAATGAATTTGTCAGATGGTGAAAATTAAAGATGTGCTGTGAATTGTCACTGATGCCACCTGGCTTTGTGGGCGTCCTCTGGCTGATTGAGAGAACGGGGCTCAGTCCCCATTTGGGGGCAGATTTCCCATTTGTTTGCTGCAAATATTCATGTTTTAGGAAACACTTTCTGCTGCCAAAGCCAGTACGAGGGCTCTGCGTCGCTTAAGCTCCATTAAAAATGCTACTTTTGAATAATTTAAACCACTGATCAAGGGGTTATTTGGGCTGGGGCTGTAAGCTATTGCCATGGAGTATAATGTCAGCGTTCAAGTGCAGTAAGATTTAAGTTTTGCATACATCTTGTACGTGCTGTCTGCATTGGAGGAGATTTATGCTTCCTGCATATTTTAGCCAGCAAAATTCCATCTCACTCCTAAGGAGTTTGTTTTCTAAATAGGGCTAATACCCTAAAGTATCTATTTGGGCACTTTAACCCAACATTAGAATGCTGCTTGTTTACCTGGCCACTCCAAATCAACACCCCTGAGGGTCTGGGTAGGGATAAACATCCCATGCTTTGTTTCCTTCCCCACCACTTAACAATTATTAAGACTCTGCCATTCATAGTTTTCACACAAGAGATATCAGAGCAAACCAATAATTTGGGGACTATCAAACAAAAGCTATCTGCCAGATATATTAATACAACAGTTATTTTGGCACATTCATGGCTTAATGTGTGACAAATGTTTCAGATTTGGTCTTGAAAGCACCGTGTTATTACTCAGAGGCAAACCAAACACCCACCTTTGTAAACACGTTACTGTTGCTGAGGATTGGAGGAGCAAATACAAAAGGGGAGAAAAAAATCTCCAAGGGAAAAAAAAAAAAGTGGTTTCTGCATTGTAATAACCTGCACAGAGACATATTATTCAGGTGATGTGTAACTACATAAATAAGGGACTGTCCTTCCTGCCTCTGGATGCCGAGAAATTGCTGTCCTCGTAATACTCATCCATTTCTAATTTATATCAAGATGCAGGTTGTATCTTACCTTTGAAAAAATATATTTAAATTGCAATGACAGAGTGATAGCACTGTTATCTGGAGCTATAATTTCAGTTGGTATGCATGATAGCACAAATTGTCTGAAATGATGGGGTATTTGGGATGGCATTGTAAAGATTTTATTACAGTTTCGGAGCCGAAAGCCTCCCTGAAGTTCTGACGAGGTTGGGAGTGGGGAGGCCTGAGTTTATTCATATGGATTCTTCAGAAATCTGCAAGGAGACTAAATCAAATAACAGGGATTTTCAGAGTTTACTTACTCTTACCATGTTATTTTTAAGATCCAGTACACATTTGAATAATAACAGAGGGGAGCAGAGTATTTAGAAAGGCGAAATATAAAGCTGAGATCCTGAAAACACACACATGCATTTGTGTTTCCTTCTTGCAGGCAACATTGCAGTGAAATAGGCATAAAGACAGAGAATATAGATTGAAATAAATGGAAATAAAACAGTGGAAAGAGTACTTGAAGTATAGAAATGCATAAAGTACTTTATATTTCAATGGCATTTACTAGTAGAGGTTATATTGTCAAATGTTAGCTATCATTAAAAATACAAATGAATAATCTGGGTTACTACTGTAGAAAAATGTGTTATGGGTATGGATTTATTTTTAAGACCTCTGTGAGGCTGTTTATAAGAAATTTGCTATAAATTCTTCTTCAATGTAAAAAGATACATATATCTCTTTTATAGTCATCTTTGGTGTTTTCCTGAATTCTTCTAAGTGATATGGGTTTAGTAATATAAAGTAAGATTATGTGTAATATACAACAATCAGACATCTCTATTCTCTTTCATTTAACCCACTTCAAATTTGTTTTTATTGCTATTCTTGATAGAAAACCCATGAACATTAGGAAACATGGCTTTAATTAGAAGTAATTTGTATGTTGACTTATACCTTGAAGAACATTTGTTCATTTCTTCAACTGAATTAGAATTTTTATGTTGTTCTGGGGGAAAAGGCAGGGCAGAATTGTATTTCTCACTTTAGAGCCAGGTGGGATTGGCTTGGAACTGGTCACTAACTGAGGCTGTCTGTGGCCTTGGCTACAACTTTTGATAGAAATAAATCTCCATAAAGTCAAATTACCCAACCTGACTGGGGAGATTTCTGCTTCAAAAGACCCCGATAAGCGAACAGGCAGCTACCTGAGATGAACTAATTTGAAAGTAAGGCTGCTGCAAAACAAAAAAAAAAGTCATAATGATAAACAGTTTTTCTCTCTGTTTCCTCCTTTGTCTTTTTTAACCATCAAGTTTAAAGCTTCTGCGGCGCTTTTTTTTCTACTTTATAGGAGACAACTGACATTCTGTGGTAAATGGAAGAAAGAGCAGAGCAGAACTGAAAATCCTCTAATGCACTGACACTAACTTGCCCTCTATTGTTGAAAATGAGCAGGCAATCATGATTGTTCATCAAATGGCTCCTAATGCAGTTAAAGCATTCAGCTATAATTTCTCCTTGCATTTATAATTACTGTCATAGACTGCACACCTCAGTGAGCAGATTAAAGCTATAAACTATTTAGCCGTAGCTTTAAGATGAGGAACTTGATTTGTCTGGCAGCAGTTATTTGTTAGAGAGCTTGACACTTCACATAAAAATGACTCAACTTGATGAAGAACAATGCAGTTTAAGCAATGCAGTGATTTTAAATCAGTCATTATACCACGCCCTGTAAGAATTGCAAAGCAATTTGTTAAATGATATATAGGACATGTAGATAACTGTATGTGTTAAGTATACCAAAATAGAGGATTTTTTTCTTCTCTGGATTTTATTTTCTCATTCCTCTGAAGCAGTAGGAGCTGCTCTGATCATGTTCCACTCTTAGTCAATATGGCTCTTACATGGTCAAGGACAATTGTGTGAATCAGTGGTCCAAAATTCTATTTTAGGGAATTTAGCCTGCTCCTCAACTTCCATTTCTTCTTAGCAACAAATATTAGAAGCTGAGGTTTCCTTCCAGGAGAACCAGACATGCTGGGATGTGCCTGCCTGCGGTGGTGTCACCACGATTTCGTAAGCAGAATTTACCAGCAACACCAAGGGTTCTGCTCCCCACATCATCAGCCAGGAAAAGAGGGTTCATCCCATGGAATTCTTGTTTATTCCATTCAAATGGGATTTTTCTGACAATATCTTTTTGGAAAATGATGGCTTCTCAATGGCAAAAAAAAGTCTGTGGGGAAGTTCTGTTTTAAAACAGATTTTTGTTAGGATAAACAGGGTAAAATTGAATGACAGGAGACAGAGCTAGGAAAAGAAACAGGTTAGCCTTTTTGCTGAAGCAAAATCCTGCTGAAGCAAGGAACTACCTCCAAACCATGAGCCCTCCCTCAAAATAATCCTGTCCTGGTGAAGCCTCAGGTCTCTTAATCCTTTGAAATTTTTCACTGTTTACCTGAAGTGGTAGATCCAGATTTTATTTTTTTTTTTAATTGAACATTTTTTAATCCTCAAAAATTATCTTGCATAGCATTTTTTCAATCTAGCCATCATCCTTGTAAACCTAATAATGGTGTGTTCTTGGCTTCCCTGAGAGCAGGGCCAGGCCAGATGATCCATCAGGCTGTGGCAGCACCAACGGATCCGTGCACATTTCCTGGCTCTTTAGGAAGGTTTTGCAAGTTTTACAGGTTGCTATTAAGAACAGTATTATTTAACATTGCATTTGAGCTTCCAACCCACTGGGTCAACCCACATTGTTCCTGAGCTCTGTACAAACACATTGCATGTGGCAGTTCCAAGGCAGGAACTCCTC